CGGCGCGATCTGCTAGCGCGCGACGGCGCCCCCGGGGGGGGCGGGGGGGGGCTCTCATCTCCGGTGCATGTGGCCGCCCTTGAGGAAGGAGCTCGGCGGGATGCTGAGCCCGCCGCGGCCGCCGGGCACGCGGAAGTGGCGCGTCGTCCCGATGTGCTCCGTGAAGCTCAGGAGGTCCAGGAAGAGCGCCTTCCGCGGCGGCTTGAGCTCCGCGCGGTCGCGCCTCCGGCCCGCGGGCGCGGCGGACCGCGATGGCGCGGGCGACGTCTCGGGCCGGTGCGCCAGGCCCGCGATGTCGAGGCCGCCGAGGCGCGGGCCGGGCCGCGGGCCGGGCGTCCGCGCGCGGCCGCGCCGGGGCCGCGCGCGCGCGCCCGCGTCCGGGCTCAGCTTCCGCGGCCGCGCGGCCGCGCCGGCGAAGTGGGACCCGCGCGCGGCGTCGGCCGTCGCCAGCGTCGCCACGCTCGCCGCGTCGAGGCTCACGAAGGACTCCTTGGTCCAGCCGCGGCCCAGGGCGTAGGGCCGCGCGTCGGCCGGCTCCCGCGGCTTCGACGCCTCCGGCCGCCGGGCCCGCCGCGGGATGCGCGGCACGAAGGGGCGGATGGGCGAGAAGGGGATGAACTTGCCCTCGGGCGCCGCGTCGCCGCTCGCCGGCGCCGCCATGGTCGCGCACGGCTGCGCCTCCGAGGAGCTCTATCGTCTGGGCGTTTCTTCAGCGCCGATGATATCGTCGTGCAGGCACTTGTGCCGTCACGTTGGACTCGTTGCTACGGTTGTTGAAGGGAGCACCCGCCGGGAGAGGCGCGCGGCCAGAGACATGCCCGGGGCCACGTCGACCGAGTGGTTGAAGGGGGTGCGCACCCCGAGGGCCCCGCCGGGCGGGGCGCGTTCGCGCGGGCCGGCGGCGGGGCGGGGGGGGGAGGGCGGGGCGCCGCGGGCGCGCCTAGGCCTCCTCGGAGTCCTCGAAGGAGTCGGAGTAGTCGCCGCCGTCGTCGGCGTCGGGCGCGTCCTCGAAGAAGTCGACGTCGTTCTCGCCGGGCGACGGCGCGAGCATGTCGTCCATGGTGATGTCCGGCCGCGGCTCGTAGGGGCCGCCGGCCCGGGGCTCGAAGGCGCGCTCCGTCTCGCGCAGGAGGCCGCCGACGTCGTCGTCGTCGTCGAAGGCGTAGAGGTCGTCGTCGTCGTCGTCGTCGCCGCCGGCGGCGGCGGCGGCGAAGCCCGGCGCGAAGGTCGCGGTCTTGGAGAAGTCCGTGAGCGAGTCCATGGCGTCGTCGCGCTCGAAATCCGCGAGGTCGTTGTTCCGCTCGAACTCGGCGATGTCGTCGTCGAGGACCGTGCGGTCGAGCGTCGGCCGGTTGGCCGGCGGGAGGCCCGCCATGAACGGCGGCACGGCGAGGCCCGCGCCCCAGCGCGGCGGCGGCGCGCCGCGGCCCGGCGCCGGGAACGCGTCGTCGTAGAGGCTGTCGGCCTGCGACTCCTCGGGCGTCTCGCCGACGAGGTTCGGCGGGTCGTCGACGTAGAAGCACTTGACGCGGAGCGGCGTCGAGCCCTCGGCGGACGACCTGTGTGCAAATCAACCAGTGAGCTGGGACGTCGGGGCCAAACTTCAGAATTCTCTAGCTCGGTCAAATCGAAGTCGATTCGGCTGATTTTTGGACGAATCGATTGCTCTCAGCGAGTTCTCGAAGTACGGCGGAAGTGCTCGTGTCAAAACATTCGAATACGCGCACATTGAAGTCGGGTTGAAGATTTGATTTGCACACAGCGGACGACGTGCGCTCGCCGCCGATGGACACGCGCCGCGCGCCGGGCCCGCGGTTCCGCGGGTCGTGGTCCCGCTTCAGGATGCCCGCGGGCGGCCGCGCGCCCGGCGACCGCGGCGCCGCGGCCTCCGCGTGGTCCCAGTCCGTGTCGCCGAAGCCGCCGTCGCCGCCGTCGAAGTCGTAGAGGCGGTCGTCGTCGTCGGCGTAGGCGTCGCCGTCGTCGACGTCGACCTCGAGGGCCGGCGGCTTCGGCGGCGACGGCGGCGCGACCGACGCGAGGCGCGCCGCGGCCTCGGCGCCGGCGCCGGCCGCGCCCTCGCGCACCATGATGGCCTCGACCTCGGCGCGGGGCAAGCCCGTCGCGACCATCGCCGCGTACTTGGCGAGGTCCGGCGGCGGCGGCGGCGGCGGCGCGGCCGCGGCGGCGGCGTCGTCGTCGCTCAGGCTCTCCTCGAACGACTCCACGCTCGCCTCGTCGAAGGACGCGTCGTCGTCCTCGGCCGCCGCCGCGACCGCCGCGGGCTCCTCGGCCGCCGCGGGCTCCTCGGCCGCCTCGGTCACGTCCAGCACCGCGGCCGCGGGCGACGGCGGCTCGACGGGCGACGGCGCCTTGACGGGCGACGGCGCCTTGACGGGCGACGCCGCGGGCGACGCCGGCTTCGCGGGCGACGCCGCGGGCGACGGAGCGCCGTCCGGCGCGTCCGCGGCCTCGACGCAATCCAGGACGGCCGCCGCGGGCTTCGGAGGCGCCTTGACGGGCGAGGGCGCGGGCGACGGCGCCTTGACGGGCGCCTTGACGGGCGACGGCGCCTTGACGGGCGACGCCGCGGGCGACGGCGTCTTGACGGGCGACGAAGGGCCGTCCGGCGCGTCCGCGGCTTCGACACAGTCCAAAACGGCCGCGGCGGGCTCGGGAAGAGCCTTGGCGGGCGAGGACAGTTTCACGGGAGACGCCGCGGGCGACGCCGCGGGCGACGCCGCCTTGACGGGCGACAGCGCCTTGATGGGCGACAGCGCCTTGACGGGCGACGCCGGCTTCGCCGGCGACGCCGCGGACGACGGGGCGCCGTCTGGCGCGTCCGCGGCCTCGACGCAGTCCAGGACGGCCGCCGCGGGCTTCGGAGGCGCCTTGACCGGCGAGGGCGGATTGACGGGAGCCACCTCGGCGAGGGGAGACGGCGGCTTCGCGGGCGAGG